ATCCCCCAGACCCCCTCAGCAGGACCCCTCCCCACCCCGGCGCTCCCAGCTCCGCTCCCCTCTCCCCCCATTCCCGGGGGTCCCCGTCCCTGCCCAGCCCGGGGGTCGCGTCCCCCCCGGTTCCCCGCTCACCACGCCCGGGGCTCGGGGCTCAGCTGCCGGTGCAGCGCCACGGCCGCCCCGAAGAGGCTGCCCCGCTCGCCGTCCTTCAGCACCGGGCTGCTCCCGTCCAGGTTGAACGCGGCGGCCGCCGGTGGCCACGGGGACAGCGCCGGTAGCCACAGGGACACCCACGGTAGCCACAGGGACAGCGCCGGTAGCCACAGGGACAGCCCCGGTAGCCCCCGAGACAGCCCCGTTAGCCCCCGAGACAGTCCCGGTAGCCACCGGCAGAGCCCCGGTAGCCACAGGGACACCCACGGTAGCCACCGGGACAGCCCCGGTGGTCCCCGGCAGAGCCCCGGTGGTCCCCGGCGCAGCCCCGGCCGCCCCCCGCAGCCCCCGCTCGCCATCCCGGCGCTGCCGGTGCCGCCGCCCGCGGGAGGAGCCCCGGAGCTCCCGGGGGCGGCTCCGCCCCGGCCCCGCCCGCGGAACCGGGGAGACCCCGGAGAGCCCGGCCCGGCGGGGGGAGGGGACACGGAGGGCGGGGGGGGGAACCCCAAATCCCGGGGGGGGACCCCAAATCCCGGAGTGACACTACAGCCAGGGAGGGAGGGACCCCAAATTCCTGGAGTGACCCCAAATCCTGGGGAGTGACCCCAAATTCCTGGAGTGACCCCACAGCCAGGGAGGGACCCCAAACCCAGGGAGGGACCCCAAATCCCGGAGTGACACCACAGCCAGGGAGGGAGGGACCCCAAATTCCTGGAGTGACCCTGTAGGGCGGGGGGTGATCCCACAGCCAGGGAGGGACCCCAAATCCTGGGGAGGGACCCCAAATCCCAGAGTGACCCTGTAGGGCGGGGGGTGACCCCAAATCCCTGGAGTGACCCCAAATCCAGCGAGTGACCCCAAATTCCTGGAGTGACCCTGTAGGGCGGGGGGTGATCCCACAGACAGGGAGGGACCCCAAATCCTGGGGTGGGACCCCAAATCCCGGGGACTGACCCCGGCACCGGGGAGTGACCCCAAAGCCAGCGAGAGACACCAAAGCCAGGGAGGGAGTGACCCCAAATTCCTGGAGTGACCCCAAATCCTGGGGAGTGACCCCAAATTCCAGAGTGACCCCAATTCCCAGAGTGACCCCAAATCCTGGCGCGTGACCCCAAATCCAGGGACTGAACCCAAATCCCAGAGTGACCCCAAATCTCCGGAGTGACCCCAAATCTTGGCGTGTGACCCCAAATCTAGCGAGTGACCCCAAATCCCAGAGTGACCGCAAATCTCCGGAGTGACCCCAAACCCAGTGAGGGACCCCAAATTCAGGGATTGATCCTGGCACTGGGGACGGATCCCAAAAATCTCAGGACTGACCCCAAATCCCAGAGTGACCCCAAACTCAAGGAGTGACCCCAAATCCAGGGACCGACCCCAATTCCAGGGAGTGACCCCAAATCCCAGAGTGACCCCAAAATCAGGCACTGACCCCAAATCCTGGGGCGTGACTCCAAATCCCAGAGTGACCCCAAATTCAAGGAGTGACCCCAAATCCAGGGACTGACCCCAAATCCCAGAGTGACCCCAAATCCTGGGGCGTGACCCCAAACCCCAGGGTGCCCCCAAATCCCAGAGTGACCCCAAATCCTGGGGCGTGACCCCAAACCCCAGGGTGCCCCCAAATCCCAGAGTGACCCCAAATCCTGGGGCGTGACCCCAAACCCCAGGGTGCCCCCAAATCCCAGAGTGACCCCAAATCCTGGGGCGTGACCCCAAACCCCAGGGTGCCCCCAAATCCCAGAGTGACCCCAAATCCTGGGGCGTGACCCCAAACCCCAGGGTGCCCCCAAATCCCAGAGTGACCCCAAATCCTGGGGCGTGACCCCAAACCCCAGGGTGCCCCCAAATCCCAGAGTGACCCCAAATCCTGGGGCGTGACCCCAAACCCCAGGGTGCCCCCAAATCCCAGAGTGACCCCAAATCCTGGGGCGTGACCCCAAACCCCAGGGTGCCCCCAAATCCCAGAGTGACCCCAAATCCTGGGGCGTGACCCCAAACCCCAGGGTGCCCCCAAATCCCAGAGTGACCCCAAATCCTGGGGCGTGACCCCAAACCCCAGGGTGCCCCCAAATCCCAGAGTGACCCCAAATCCTGGGGCGTGACCCCAAACCCCAGGGTGCCCCCAAATCCCAGAGTGACCCCAAATCCTGGGGCGTGACCCCAAACCCCAGGGTGCCCCCAAATCCCAGAGTGACCCCAAATCCTGGGGCGTGACCCCAAACCCCAGGGTGCCCCCAAATCCCAGAGTGACCCCAAATCCTGGGGCGTGACCCCAAACCCCAGGGTGCCCCCAAATCCCAGAGTGACCCCAAATCCTGGGGCGTGACCCCAAACCCCAGGGTGCCCCCAAATCCCAGAGTGACCCCAAATCCTGGGGCGTGACCCCAAATCCCAGGCCCTGGGCAGGGACCCCAAATCCCAGGGAGTGGTTTTGGCCGGGCAATGGGATTTTTGTTCCGTTTTGTTCCGTTTTGTTCCATTTCCAGCTCCCGGGTTATTTTTAGCCTCTCTCAAAACCCCCGGGGGATTTTTGGGGATTTTTTTTGGGATTTTTTGGGATTTTTGGGTCCGTGGGAAGCAGCCCGGCCCCTCCCCCCCCGCTTTTTGGGGGCATTTTGGGGGGTCCAAACCCCCCCTTCCCCTTCCCCATCCCAATTCTTCCCAGTTTTATTTTTGGGGTTTGTTTTGGGGTTTTTTAATTAATTTTTTTATTATTTTTGGGGTTTATTTGGGGATTTTATTTCTCTTAATTTTATTTTTAATTTTAATTTTAATTTTAATTTTGGGGTTTGTTTCTGGGGTTATTTTTGGGGTTTTTATTTTTATTTATTTTAATTTTATTTTTATTTTTGGGGTTTATTTCTGGGGTTTGGTTTGGGGTTTTAAATTTTATTTATTTTTAATTTTAATTTTACTTTTGGATTTTANAGTGACCCCAAATCCCAGAGTGACCCCAAATCCTGGGGCGTGACCCCAAATCCCAGGCCCTGGGCAGTGACCCCAAATCCCAGAGTGACCCCAAATCCCAGGCCCTGGGCAGGGACCCCAAATCCCAGGGAGTGGTTTTGGCCGGGCAATGGGATTTTTGTTCCGTTTTGTTCCGTTTTGTTCCATTTCCAGCTCCCGGGTTATTTTTAGCCTCTCTCAAAACCCCCGGGGGATTTTTGGGGATTTTTTTGGGGATTTTTTGGGATTTTTGGGTCCGTGGGAAGCAGCCCGGCCCCTCCCCCCCCGCTTTTTGGGGGCATTTTGGGGGGTCCAAACCCCCCCTTCCCCTTCCCCATCCCAATTCTTCCCAGTTTTATTTTTGGGGTTTGTTTTGGGGTTTTTTAATTAATTTTTTTATTATTTTTGGGGTTTATTTGGGGATTTTATTTCTCTTAATTTTATTTTTAATTTTAATTTTAATTTTAATTTTGGGGTTTGTTTCTGGGGTTATTTTTGGGGTTTTTATTTTTATTTATTTTAATTTTATTTTTATTTTTGGGGTTTATTTCTGGGGTTTGGTTTAGGGTTTTAAATTTTATTTATTTTTAATTTTAATTTTATTTTTGGATTTTATTTTTGGAATTTGTTTTCAGGGGTTTATTTTTGGGGGTTTATTTTCAGGATTTATTGTCAGGATTTATTTTTGGGGATTTATTTTCAGGGATTATTTTCGGGGTTTATTTCAGGATGAGCATCTCAAATTTTACTTTTCCCCATTCCCCGGTTATTTTTCTGGCTTTTTTTCTTTTCCCAGGTGATTTCATTTTTCCCAGGTTATTTTATTTTCCCGGGTTATTTTATTTTATTTTTCCCGGGTTATTTAATTTTCCCCGAGTTTTATTTTATTTATTTTATTTTATTTTATTTTCCCGGGTTATTTTATTTTATTTTTCCCGGGTTATTTAATTTTCCCCGAGTTTTATTTTATTTATTTTATTTTATTTTATTTTCCCGGGTTATTTTTCCTGGGTTATTTAATTTTTTCCAGGTTATTTTATTTTTCCCGGGATATTTCATTTTTCCCGGGTTATTTTATTTTATTTTTCCCGGGTTATTTAATTTTCCCCGAGTTTTATTTTATTTATTTTATTTTATTTTATTTATTTCATTCTATTTTATTCTATTTTATTCTATATTTTTTTTCCCCGGGTTATTTTCTCTTTCCCAGGTTATTTTCACCCCTCCCGGGTTATTTTTGGCCGCGGCTCCCACTCAAATTCCTGCGGCCGGAACGCGGGACCCCTGGGAGCGCTGGGAGGGACCTCCCCATAGCCCCTCCCCGGATCACGTGGCTCTCCCCGGTCACGCGCCGCAGACGCGCCGTGGAAGGGGGCGGGGCGCGCGGGCGGTCACGTGCGGCGGCGGCCGCCATGCTGTCCCGGCTGCTGAAGGAGCACCAGGCCCGCCAGAGCGAGCGGCGCGAGCTGCAGGGTGAGCCACGCCCCCCCGTCCCCATGGCAACGAACCCCGCCCGCCGCCTCCCATTGGCTGCCGCAGCTGCCGATCACCGCAGCGCGGCACCCCATTGGCTGGCGCGGCTGTCCGTCAAAAGAGGGGGAAAGGGCGGGAAGCCTGAGGGGCCCTGAGGGCTCTGAGGGGGGGAAGGGAGGCCCGTGAGGTCACGGCTCCGCTCGGTGACGTCACGCTGGATAATGCTGACGTCACGCGGTGTGCCGGGCCGGGCGGGGGTCGCGGCGCCCCTCACGGCGCTGTCCCCGCGTGTCCCCCCGCAGAGCGGCGCCGCAGGGACGCCATCGCGGCCGCCACCCGCCTCACCGAGGCCTTGGTGGATCACCTGAACGTGGGGTGAGCCCCGGCGCCCCCGAGCCCCGTTCCTTACGGGGACACCCCCCCAAAATCCTCCTGGGGACCTCCGGGACCCCCATTCCTTATGGGACCATCCCCCCCAAAATCCTCCTGGGGACCTCCGGGGGGACCCCCCATTCCTTACGGGGACACCCCCCCAAACCCTACTGGGGACCCCATACCCCACTGGGGACCCCCCATTCCTTATGGGACCATCCCCCCAAACCCCTCTGGGACACCCATTCCTTATGGGGACACCCCACCCAAACCCTCCTGGAGACCCTCGGGACCCCCATTCCTTATGGGACCATGCCCCCAAACCCCCCCTGGGGACCCCAAACCCCTCCTGGAGACCCCAAATTCCTTCTGGGACCACCCCCCACCCAAACCTCGTACCCCTCCTGAGGACCCCAGACCCAGCAAACCTCCCACCCCCGAGACCCCCAACGCCACAGAACCCCACGGTTCCCCCTTCCCAGAGACCCCCAGACACCTCCCCTCAACCCTACAGCCCCACAAATCCGCCTCCCCAAAGACCCCTTCCCTCTCCTTTTTCCTCCCCCAAACCCCCTCCCTTTTTTGGGCTCCCCCGTCACTCGGGGGGTGCCAGGCAGGGACCCCAGCCCCGTGTGACCCCCGTGTCCCCCCCGTGTCCCCCCCAGGGTGGCCCAGGCCTACGTGAACCAGCGCAAGCTGGACCAGGAGGTGAAGACGCTGCAGGTGCAGGCGGCGCAGTTCGCCCGCCAGACCGGCCAGTGGATCGCCATGGTGGAGAGCTTCAACCAGGCCCTCAAGGTGGGGACACCCCCAAAACCCAGCCCAAAACCACCCCAAAACCCCGCCCAGAGCGGGGGGCTCACCTCCAAAAACACAGCCCCAAGCCCAGCCCCAAACCCAGCCCCAATCCCAGCCCAGAGGGGCCAGTGGATCGCCATGGGGGAGAGCTTCAACCAGGCCCTCAAGGTGGGGACACCCCCAAAACCCAGCCCAAAACCACCCCAAAACCCCGCCCAGAGCGGGGGGCTCACCCCCAAAAACACAGCCCCAAACCCAGCCCAAACACATCCCAAAATACACCCCAAAACCACCCAAAAATACACCCCCAAACCCAGCCCAGAGCGGGCTCACCCCTGAGTGGATCCCAGACTATGAAGGGAAGGGGGACGAAGCCCCCAGACCCATTTGGGGTTGGGATGTGGCCCCCAGATCCATGGGGAGGGAATGAAGCCCCCAGACCCACGAATGGAGGTCAATGGGGGATGAAGCCCCCAGACCCATATAGGGGAGCATGTGGATTCCAGATCATGAAGGGAAAGGGGGATGAAGCCCCCAGACCCTTTTTGGGGGATTATATAGTCCCCAGGCCCACGGGAATGGCAAATGAAGCCCCCAGACCCATGAACAGAGTGGGGGATGAAGCCCCCAGACCCATGAACAGAGGGGGGGATGAAGCCTCCAGCCCCTGGGTTTGCACTGCAGTGGTTGGGGAGCACCCAGGGGGTCCCAGGGGGTTTGAGCAGCACCCAGGGGGTCTTGGGCAGCACCCAGGGGGTCCTGAGGGGTCCCCAGGGGGTCTTGGGCAGCTCTTAGGGGGTCTTGGACCACCCAGGGGGGCTTGAGGGACACCCAAGGGGTCTTGGGCAGAACCCAGGGGGTCTTGGGGAACATCTTGGGGGTCTTGGGGAACATCTTGGGCGTCTTGGGCAGCACCCAGGGGGTCCCGAGGGGCACCCAGGGGGGTCTGGGGCAGCACCCAGGGGGTCTCAGGGGTCCCAGGGAGCACCCAGAGGGTCTCAGCAGGAGGGGATGGGTGACACACCCCCCGGGGTGAGCCCCCTCCCCAAAAGCCCCCTCCCCACACGGCCTCAGGAGATCGGGGACGTGGAGAACTGGGCCAGGAGCATCGAGCTGGACATGAGGACCATCGCCACGGCCCTCGAGTACGTCTACAAGGGGCAGCTGCAGCCCTCCTGCTCCTGAGGGACCCCCGGGACCCCCCGGGAGCCCCCGGGAGCCCCCAGACCCCCCGGGAGCCCCCCCAGCACCGCCAGGTCCCGGGGCTCTCACCTCGGTGCCCTTGGCACCCCCGGCGCTGGGAGCCATGGGTTAAGGGGGGGGGTGTGGAATAAGGGGGGGGGCCCGGGGGGTGTGGGGGGGTCAGGCCGGGCACAGACCCTGGCACAGCCCCCCCCCCAAATCCCCCTAAGCCCCCTCATCCTCTTTAGCGCTTACCCTGGCTCTGAGGCTGCTTTGATTGGGGACAAAGGGGCCCTTTTTGGGTCTGGGGGGGGCTGCCCTGATCCGGGGCTGGCAGGGATTTCATTCCCTAAGGGGGGGGGGCAGGGCCCATTTTGGGGTGATTTTCCCCTGGGGGGGGTCAGGGCCCATTTTGGGGTGATTCCCCCCAGATCTGGGGGTGGCAGGGCTTTCATTCCCTCGTGGGGGGGGCAGGGCCCATTTTGGGGTGATTTTCCCCCGGGGGGGGGGGTCAGGGCCCATTTTGGGGGGATTTTCCCCCACGGGGGGGGTCAGGGCCCATTTTGGGGTGATTTTCCCCCCCTCTGCCCCCCGAGGGACCCCCCCTCTGCCCCCCGAGGTACGTGGGGACCCCCCCTTTGCACCCCCCAGGTAGGTGGGGACCCCCCCTCTGCACCCCAGGTACGTGGGGACCCCCTGAGGGACGTGGGGACCCCCCCTCTGCCCCCCCCCAGGTAGGTGGGGACCCCCCCAGGTACGTGGGGACCCCCCCTCTGTCCCCCGAGGGGTTGTGGGGACCCCTCCCCCTCTGCACCCCCCCGTGCTGGGGGTCTCCTGTTGTGGGGGGGGGTTCTGGGGACACGGGAGAGACCCCCGGGGTCACCCTCAAATCCCAGGGTGGGGAGAAAATGGGGGACCTGAGACCCCCCAGCCCCCCCAAACGGGGCTGCAGGAGGGGGGCGCGACCCCCCCCCAATGGGTTCAGGGGACACAGGACAGACCCTGCGTGTCCCCCCCACTTTGTGTCCCCTCCTCAGTGCCCCCCTAATCCGAGGAGGGGATTTGGGGGTCCCTCCCACCCCTTTGGGGGTCCCTCCCACCCCCGCGGTGCGAAACCCCCAGACCAACAATGGGGGGGGGGTCCTGAGTCACCCTCAAATCCCAGGGTGGGGAGAAAATGGGGGACCTGAGACCCCCCAGCCCCCCCAAACGGGGCTGCAGGAGGGGGGCGCGACCCCCCCCCAATGGGTTCAGGGGACACAGGACAGACCCTGCGTGTCCCCCCCACTTTGTGTCCCCTCCTCAGTGCCCCCCTAATCCGAGGAGGGGATTTGGGGGTCCCTCCCACCCCTTTGGGGGTCCGTCCCCCCCCCGGGGTGTGAAACCCCCAGACCAACAATGGGGGGGGGGTCCTGAGACCCCCAACCCCCGCAGTGGGGGTCCTGGAGGGGGGCACAGGACAAATCTCGGGTGTCCCCCCCAAATCCGAGGGTGGGCGGGGGTGTCCCTGCTGCCCCTTTGGGGGTCCAACCCCCAAACCAGCAATGGGGGGGTTCTGACACCCCAACCCCCCCCCGGTGGGGGTCCCGAGCCCCCAGAGCCCCGGTGGGGGTCCTGCAGGGGGGCCCGGGGCCCGGGGGGGGACACGGTCCCCGCGGGTCCCCTCCCTTGGCGGGGGCAGCTGGCCTGGGGGTCCCGGCCAGGGCGGGGCCCACCCCGGGGGTCTCGGGGGTGCCGGGGGTCGCCGCTGCCCCGGGCAGGGGGGGGACGGGCCCGAGGGGACCCCCCCGGAGCCCCCCCGTGCCCGGCGGTGACGCACGGCCCCGTTAATCCGGGCCGGCCCGGGCCAGACCGGGACAAGGTGGGGCTGGGCTCCCGCGGGGGGCTCGTCCCCGCCCCGGGAGGGGCTTTGGGGTGCGCCCACCCCCCCGGGAGGGCGGGGACCCCCCGGGCACCCCTGGGGACACAGGAGGCGGGGCCAGCCCGGGGCAGTCCCGAGTGACCGAGCCTGGCCCGGGTCAGTCCCGAGTGACCGCTCGGTCCGCGGGGGGAGAGACCCCCGGGCTCGGGGCAGGGCGGGGGGCTGCGGGTCCCGGCGGGCCCCTCGGGGGGTCCTGGGGGGGTCCCACTGTCCCTGTCACCCCCAGGCCATGTGGCTGTACCTGGCACTGCTGGCACTGGTGGCACTGGGAGGGTCACACGGGGTGGGGGTCTCTCAGGTGTCCCACTGTCCCTGTCACCCCCAGGCCATGTGGCTGTACCTGGCAGTGGGAGGGTCACACAGGGTGGGGGTCTCTCTCAGGGGTCTCTCTCTCGGGTGTCCCAGTGTCCCTGTCACCCCAGGCCATGTGGCTGCACCTGGCAGTGGTGGCACTGGGTGTGTCACACAGGCCATGTGGCTGTAGGTGGCACTGGGTGTGTCACACAGGGCGGTGTCGCTGTCCCCGCAGGCTGTGTGGCAGTGGTGGTACTGTGAGGGTCACACAGTGTGGTGTCGCTGTCCCCGCAGGCCATGTGGCTGCACCTGGCACTGTGAGGGTCACACAGGGCCGTGTCCCACTGTCGCTGTCCCCGCAGGCCATGTGGCACTGGTGGCACTGGGTGTGTCACACAGGGCCCTGTCGCTGTCCCCGCAGGCCGTGTGGCAGTGGTGGCACTGGGTGTGTCACACAGGGCCGTGTCCCACTGTCGCTGTCCCCACAGGCCATGTGGCATTGGTGGCACTGGGTGTGTCACACAGGGCCGTGTCCCACTGTCGCTGTCCCCACAGGCCATGTGGCTGCACCTGGCACTGTGAGGGTCACACAGGGCCGTGTCGCTGTCCCCGCAGGCCATGTGGCACTGGCGGCACTGGGTGTGTCGCACAGGGCCGTGTCCCACTGTCGCTGTCCCCACAGGCCATGTGGCTGCACCTGGCACTGTGAGGGTCACACAGGGCCGTGTCGCTGTCCCCGCAGGCCATGTGGCACTGGCGGCACTGGGTGTGTCGCACAGGGCCGTGTCCCACTGTCGCTGTCCCCACAGGCCATGTGGCTGCACCTGGCACTGTGAGGGTCACACAGGGCCGTGTCGCTGTCCCCGCAGGCCATGTGGCACTGGCGGCACTGGGTGTGTCGCACAGGGCCGTGTCCCACTGTCGCTGTCCCCACAGGCCATGTGGCTGCACCTGGCACTGTGAGGGTCACACAGGGCCGTGTCGCTGTCCCCGCAGGCCATGTGGCACTGGCGGCACTGGGTGTGTCGCACAGGGCCGTGTCCCACTGTCGCTGTCCCCACAGGCCATGTGGCTGCACCTGGCACTGTGAGGGTCACACAGGGCCGTGTCGCTGTCCCCGCAGGCCATGTGGCACTGGCGGCACTGGGTGTGTCGCACAGGGCCGTGTCCCACTGTCGCTGTCCCCACAGGCCATGTGGCTGCACCTGGCACTGTGAGGGTCACACAGGGCCGTGTCGCTGTCCCCGCAGGCCATGTGGCACTGGCGGCACTGGGTGTGTCGCACAGGGCCGTGTCCCACTGTCGCTGTCCCCACAGGCCATGTGGCTGCACCTGGCACTGTGAGGGTCACACAGGGCCGTGTCGCTGTCCCCGCAGGCCATGTGGCACTGGCGGCACTGGGTGTGTCGCACAGGGCCGTGTCCCACTGTCGCTGTCCCCACAGGCCATGTGGCTGCACCTGGCACTGTGAGGGTCACACAGGGCCGTGTCGCTGTCCCCGCAGGCCATGTGGCACTGGCGGCACTGGGTGTGTCGCACAGGGCCGTGTCCCACTGTCGCTGTCCCCACAGGCCATGTGGCTGCACCTGGCACTGTGAGGGTCACACAGGGCCGTGTCGCTGTCCCCGCAGGCCATGTGGCACTGGCGGCACTGGGTGTGTCGCACAGGGCCGTGTCCCACTGTCGCTGTCCCCACAGGCCATGTGGCTGCACCTGGCACTGTGAGGGTCACACAGGGCCGTGTCGCTGTCCCCGCAGGCCATGTGGCACTGGCGGCACTGGGTGTGTCGCACAGGGCCGTGTCCCACTGTCGCTGTCCCCACAGGCCATGTGGCTGCACCTGGCACTGTGAGGGTCACACAGGGCCGTGTCGCTGTCCCCGCAGGCCATGTGGCACTGGCGGCACTGGGTGTGTCGCACAGGGCCGTGTCCCACTGTCGCTGTCCCCACAGGCCATGTGGCTGCACCTGGCACTGTGAGGGTCACACAGGGCCGTGTCGCTGTCCCCGCAGGCCATGTGGCACTGGCGGCACTGGGTGTGTCGCACAGGGCCGTGTCCCACTGTCGCTGTCCCCACAGGCCATGTGGCTGCACCTGGCGCTGCTGGCCCTGGCCTGGGCGCTGGGCTGGCTGCTGCGGGACCGCCGCACGCTGCCCACGGTGAGCGACAAGCACGTCTTCATCACGGGCTGCGACAGCGGCTTCGGCAACCTGCTGGCCCGGCGGCTGGCCCGGCGCGGCTACCGCGTGCTGGCCGCCTGCCTGACCCCGCAGGGCGCCGAGAGCCTGCGCGGGGACAGCGCCGGGGGACACCTCAGGACCACCCTGCTGGACGTCACCTGCTCCGACAGCATCCGCAGGGCCGCCGAGTGGGTGCGGAGGGAGGTGGGCGACAAAGGTGAGGGATGGAGGGGGAAAGGGGCTGGGGGCTTGGGATGGGGGG